CCCCCAGCACCCCTAATAACCAATGGCTGGTATTTTCATTTGACCGTGCAACACATACCTACAAAGCAGCGAATTTCCATTACTTTTATTTTTGTTTTTTCAATTTTCTCACACGCAACAAAATTTAGGAACGTGAACTAAATGTTAGGCTTCGTGATTAAATTGTTCATGTTCGAAGATTTCGTGAGTAAATTGTTATTGTTCGAGGATTTCATGAGCAAATTGTATGCTGCATTTAGAACAATTGATACCGCCTCGGGGGGGTGCGAATCGTCCGAGTATTGTTAATAACTCAAGAGGATTTCACACTTCCTAGTGTGAAGCACTGTCTAGCAGCTCGCCTTTAACCAGAGTCAATACTGTGGATCAACATCAGTATATCTGCAATTGGGAATACCATTAAAGTCTTAATGGATGCTCTCTCTGTATTGAACACATCACTCTGACAATAAAAAAATTATTTTATGCATAATCACTTAATACAATGACCATCTGTGTGTGTGTATAAAACACACACACACACACACACACACACACACACACACACACACACACACATACTGATATATATATATATGTCGTACCTAGTAGCCAGAACGCACTTTTCAGCCTACTATGCAAGGCCCGATTTGCCTAATAAGCCAAGTTTTCCTGAATTAATATATTTTCTCTAATATTTTTCTTATGAAATGATAAAGCTACCTATTTCATTATGTATGAGGTCCATTTTATTTTATTGGAGTTAAAATTAACGTAGATATATGACCGAACCTAACCAACCCTACCTAACCTAACCAAACCTATCTTTATAGGTTAGGTTAGGTTGGTCAGCCGAAAAAGTTAGGTTAGGTTAGGTTAGGTAGGTTAGGTAGTCGAAAAAACATTAATTCATGAAAACTTTGCTTATTAGACAAATCGGGCCTTGCATAGTAGGCTGAGAAGTGCGTTCTGGCTACTAAGTACGACATATATATATATATATATATATATATATATATATAATATAATATATATATATATATATAGATATATATATATATATATATATATATATATATATATATATATATATATATATATATATATATATATATATATATATATATTTTATATATATATATATATATATATATATATATATATATATCTTTCAAAGAGCAATCGCTGCTCATATACATATACACAATTAGAGCAGCAAAGTAAAAAAAAAAATAATGCTGGACACCCATTCAAAATAATTGGCTGATAGAGCAAATTACCAATTACCAGCTCTAATTAAACCCAGACATTCGCGTGGTATACACAAATATATATATAAGTTTTCGTAAAAAATTACTGAAAAAAAAGGTAATGACAAAAATGAAGCATTTAGTTTATACCAAGTAAACATCTTTGCAAAATGTGTTTGTAAAGAAAATATTTTGATAATTCATACCTGTGCTTTGTGGTTCAGGAGTCGTAGCAACTGTGCTGTGAGGGTGTGGTGGTGGTGGTGTTGGTCGGGTGAGAGTCAGTAGTTGTATTCAGCTCGGCGGTCGTATGAGGCTCTCCAGTTGGATACTGATGCTCAGCTGTCGAACACTGGCTCGCTGGTGAATAGGAATCAACTGCTGGATACCCTTCAGATGGAGGATGGGATTCTGCAGCCATGTACGGGGGTGTCTGACTGTCGCAGCAGGCGTTTCGGCTCCACTGGTCACAGCGACGCCGCCCTCCACCATCGCTACTCTTTTTTAAAATGGATTTCAGTGGTTCTTTCGGACCCCTTGAAGATGTCTTGCCACTTGGGCTTCCTCTAGCCGGACTGTGGTGTACGGGGGACTCAGCTCCCTCTGGCGGACACGTCGGCGGGTCTGTGTATCCACTAACTTGTATTTGCGGTACAGGACTATCCACGTACCGGACCGCAGGGGGCATCGGAGCTTCCACATATACAACTGAGGGCCCTGGTGCCAGAGCAGCCTCCACGCAGCTGTCACTGGACACCGGTGGTCTGGGAAGATCGTTAAAATCACCAGTCGACGAAGTGGTTACAGAGTCCTTCATATATACACCAGCTGTTCCCTCCGTCAAGGAAGTCTCTGCAAAGCTGCCGAGTAACGGTTGTAGTGCAGAACGTTGCGTGCACGGTACTTGAAGATTGCAAGAGCAACACGGAAGACCTTCAGGAAATGCTGGCGAAGAGCCCATAGAACTTCCAGTAATGGGAGGACAGCAATCCAACCTGCCATACAATGATAACATTAACACATTCAGTTATCAAAGATAGCGGGGGTGAGCATAGTGTTATTATAGGTCAATATTCAGGTTAGATTCAAAATGTTATTGATAGACATTTTAATAACTTATGTGAAAGAACAGCATAAAATGGGACATTTACAAATGAGTTTGACTAAAAAAAATCTTAAACAGTTTATGTAAATGTAATAACAATGAAAGATTAACATTAAACCAGGAGAAAGGTATGATGTAAATACCAGTCCCGAGACAAAATATCAAATAATTGGACAAATTATTGGACATTATGACTGCTCACGTACGTGGGGACAGTGCCGGCTCTTTGATGAGCCTCGTAGGACTTCTTCATGTGGATGAGTTGCTCCTGGAGGCAGCGGTACTCCTTCAGGAACTTCTCGAGCTGCGCGGCGTGGTACTCGAAGTGACAGGGATCAGCAGTTCGATGCTGACTACAGACGCCTCCGGCAGCGCCCTCGATCCTGCACCACCAGGAACTTATCTTAGACATTTGATTCTTTTTGCGTCAAATTCAGTCATAAAATCGTGTCGCAAATTTATGGGATTTGGTATCAGTCTTTTTAGAGTCTAATAACCTCCGAAGAGTTATTAAGACCACTACAATAGCTTACCAGTCCACCAGCAAGTATACATTAGGCCTGAACATACTCCAGAACTAAAATAAACTGACAACGTATATAGCAGGTACATTTTGGATGTATATTTCTCTCTCACATGTCATGTATCTGAGTTTATATATATATATGTATATACCTACTTTACCCACCTCCCATTTCGTAATTGGCGCTCTTCCATTTAAAACACTCATTGAAATTTTTATTTACACATTTTTGCGTATAATTTTGGTTTTAAGACGTCATAAGTACGTCGTTGCCTAAGACACAAATATTCCACAGAGCGGCGCTACCATTGGCCGCCTGCCAGCCAGTGGTCAGGAGAGGTAGCAAATGACAGCTATTACGGTCCGGCGGTGGACTCGTAATTACGGTTACGAGTGTGTGAACTCTATGATAGAAGGCAATAAGGACTAATATTATAGTCTGAGAGCTGAAGAAGCAGCTGTGGAGACTAGCTGACCACTGCAACACCTCATTACTCACAAGACAGTGCTATAATATGATGACCAACCCACATATCAGAAAATGAAGAGAGGACGACGTTCCGGTCCGTCGTGGACCTTTATTAAGTCTTGTGATATCAAGAGTCGTTTCGTAAGTCGTGTGATATCAAGAGTCGTTTCTTAAGACTTTTTTTAACGTTGCACATGCAACCTATATGAAAAGTAAAAAGCAGTTGAATCCTCAGATGGATATCCCTGCCGATCTTTAACCAGTGATCCTCAGAGTTTGCACCCAACTCTTCCTGATGCAAGTTATTTTTTCGAGTTTCTGATTCCAATCTACATATAGCTCACTTTTGAATCTCTCTCTCTCTCTCTCTCTCTCTCTCTCTCTCTCTCTCTCTCTCTCTCTCTCTCTCTCTCTCTCTCTCTCTCTCTCTCTCTCTCTCTCTCTCTCTCTCTCTCTCTCTCTCTCTCTCTCTCTCTCTCTCTCTCTCTCTCTCTCTCTCTCTCTCTCTCTCTCTCTCTCTCTCTCTCTCTCTCTCTCTCTCTCTCTCTCTCTCTCTTTCTTCCCTTCCTCTCCCTCCACACATGTTTCCTTCAATGACTTATAACTTTGGAAACTCTGAGCACCTCAGGAAACGCTGGTTTCATCGCTTTAAAGAGTTCGTATCAAAACGCTCGTTCCAAATAACTGCACTTGACACGATGCCAGGTGATATGAGCTTCGTCAATATCGAGCACCTCTCGCAGATTTTACCACGAGCTGGGAGACTCGCCACAGGCATAGTCACGCCCTCGCTACAGTCTATCCCAGTAAACTCGCCCACAAGATTACCACGTTATTAATGCTTTATTCATATGCAGGCGACGAGTCACAATAACGTGGCTAAAGTATGTTGACCAGACCACACACTAGAAGGTGAAGGGACGACGATGTTTTAGTCCGTCCTGGACCATTCTCAAGTCGATTGAGAATGGTCCAGGAGGGACTGAAACGTTGTACTGCTTTATTAATAATTAAAATAATGCATCGTGGTAACCTGGGAATTTTGCTTGGTGCTAATAAATATTTTACTATTTATTTTGTACACCTCTTTTATGCGCCCAGTTAGCACAGTATCCAAGAGAAACGTTCATTTAACGCTGCTTCAACGTTGCACTGACGTTGATAACCGGTTGAATATTACTCTTAGATATTTGTGCCCACTGGATATTTGCGAGATGAAATACATGTTCAGTGGAGTAAAATAATAGTTGAGGGTTATTTCGTTGGTCTGTCAGGCTGCATGGCCTGACCCAGTTGTACAAATGAGCTGCTTATTCTGGGGAAGGAAGATATCCTGTGGTTATCCTCGTCCACAAACAGTTATGGACGTGCAAAGAACGAGCAAGAATATTGTGTCTACTCCGACGTGAGCGTTTAGGGTTCGTGTGAGTATGAATGCATGTGTGTACGTGTATGTATATGTATGCATGGGAGCTTATCTGAGGGTGGAGGATGGGTCTGGGCCCAATAACTACCCATAGGATAGGTATGGGGGTCCACTACCGCCTACTGGATGGGTATATGGTCCACTGCCACACACAGGATGTGTATGGCATCCACTACTGCCCACAGGATGAGTATGGGGGGTTCACTACCGCCTATGCATTATGGAAGAGGGTGACAAGACCTCACCTGTGAGTAGGGGTGACAAGACCTCACCTGTGAGTTAGCATAAGAACAAGTCACCGAGGGCTTGAGGTGATTGGAGCTCACCTGTGGGCGGGGTTAAGCTGGAGCATTTCTTGACCGTGGGTGACGTCAAGCACATGTGGGGCGGCCAAGCATGGGTGACCACTCACTGGCAAGTGGGCGTTGGCGTACGCGTTGGACGCTGCTTGACTGAGGGCCAGGTTCAAGGCGCTTGATGATCTACTGTCAAGGGGAGGAGAATTAGACTTGAAAGCGGTTCTTTCTGGAACCCGTTCAGTTAAATTGTTTGTTCTTGTTGATTATGTTAATTTTAAGGGATTATGAATTCATTGAAGTGTGTGTGTGTGTGTGTGTGTGTGTGTGTGTGTGTGTGTGTGTGTGTGTGTGTGTGTGTGTGTGTGTGTGTGTGTGTGTGTGTGTGTGTGTGTGTGTGTGTGTGTGTGTGTGTGTGTGTGTGTGTGTGTGTGTGTGTGTACTCACCTAATTGTACTCACCTAATTGTGCTTGCGGGGGTTGAGCTCTGGCTCTTTGGTCCCGCCTCTCAACCGTCAATCAACTGGTGTACAGATTCCTGAGCCTATTGGGCTCTATCATATCTACATTTGAAACTGTGAATGGAGTCAGCCTCCACCACATCACTTCCTAATGCATTCCATTTGCTAACTACTCTGACACTGAAAAAGTTCTTTCTAACGTCTCTGTGGCTCATTTGGGTACTCAGCTTCCACCTGTGTCCCCTTGTTCGCGTCCCACCAGTGTTGAAAAGTTCATCCTTGTTTACCCGGTCGATTCCCCTGAGGATTTTGTAGGTTGTGATCATGTCCCCCCTTACTCTTCTGTCTTCCAGTGTCGTGAGGTGCATTTCCGCAGCCTTTCCTCATAACTCATGCCTCTTAGTTCTGGGACTAGTCTAGTAGCATACCTTTGGACTTTTTCCAGCTTCGTCTTGTGCTTGACAAGGTACGGGCTCCATGCTGGGGCCGCATACTCCAGGATTGGTCTTACATATGTGGTGTACAAGATTCTGAATGATTCCTTACACAGGTTCCTGAACGCCGTTCTGATGTTAGCCAGCCTCGCATATGCCGCAGACGTTATTCTCTTTATGTGGGCTTCAGGAGACAGGTTTGGTGTGATATCAACTCCTAGATCTTTCTCTCTGTCTGTTTCATTAAGTACTTCATCTCCTATTCTGTATCCTGTGCCTGGCCTCCTGTTTCCACTGCCTAGTTTCATTACTTTGCATTTACTCGGGTTGAACTTCAACAGCCATTTGTTGGACCATTCACTCAGTCTATCCAGGTCATCTTGTAGCCTCCTACTATCATCCTCTGTTTCAATCCTCCTCATAATTTTTGCATCGTCGGCAAACATTGAGAGGAACGAATCTATACCCTCTGGGAGATCATTTACATATACCAGAAACAGTATAGGTCCAAGGACTGACCCCTGCGGGACTCCACTTGTGACGTCTCGCCAATCTGAGACCTCACCCCTCACACAGACTCGTTGTCTCCTGTTGCTTAGGTATTCCTCTATCCACCGGAGTACCTTCACTCTCACTCCAGCCTGCATCTCCAACTTTCGCACTAGCCTCTTGTGTGGCACTGTATCAAAGGCTTTCTGACAATCCAAAAATATGCAGTCTGCCCACCCTTCTCTTTCTTGCCTTATTTTTGTTGCCTGGTCGTAGAATTCAAGTAACCCTGTGAGGTAACCCTGTGTGTGTGTGTGTGTGTGTGTGTGGTGTGTGTGTGTGTGTGTGTGGGTGTGAGTGTGTGGGTGTGTGTGTGTGTGTGTGTGTGTGTGTGTGTGTGTGTGTGTGTGTGTGTGTGTGTGTGGTGTGTGTGTGTGTGTGTGTGTGTGTGTGTGTGTGTGTGTGTGTGTGTGTGTGTGTGTGTGTGTGTGTGTGTGTGTGTGTGTGTGTGTGTGTGTGTGTGTGTGTGTGTGTGTGTGTGTGTGTGTGTGTGTGTGTGTGTACGTGAATGTGAGCGAGAGACAAAATTTATGCAGTAGTAGATCTGAAAGAGGAAAATCGGGAGTCATTAGACAACCGAAGGTTTGAAAGACGGGGTCCAAGAACTAATAGCTCAATTCTGCAGATACCAATAGTACACACACACACACACACACACACACACACACACACACACACACACACACACACACACACACACACACACACACACACACACACACACACACACACACACACAACAACACATAAACAATAGCTGCCTCGCACGACTACATATGCATTAGATACATACATATTTAGTACAAGATTCTGCATGCACTACTAAGACCTCTTTGTTCTTATAATTTTGTATTTGTCATGAATTTCCACTTGTCTTTATAACTGTCTTTATTCAGATACATAAAACACAAAAAGTAAGCATCACTACTCATTAATCTCTGATGATTAATAATATATTTGTTTAGGAATGCCCTGGGATTTAACTTTTTCGTAAGTTCCACCGAAGCAGACATATAAACAAAGGCAATTTAGTTTTTTTCCGCAAAATTGCACATACTATCAACACGAAGTATATTGACATTGACGCCAAGTGCCTCCATAAAATTGATGGCAACATGGGTTCTCTGGTCAAACTCATCTGCAAGAAACTGCAACAAAATCTTGTTTGAAGCTGGTGTGCAAACAAGATTTCCTTTTGATGCAGGAAGGTGAGTCGTTTGCCACCAGTGTGAAGGACTATGAATTGTCGACATACTTGGCTGGACATCCACTCGAGGGTGAGTGAGAGTCGAGATATCTCCAGTGTGTCCTCTTTCCCGCTCTTTTCTGACTCTGCCTGCCTATTTCTCCACGTCATTTCCTTGTTTTCCCGCCTCTTCCTTTCTCTTTTTCTCAGTTGTTCACCCCCTTTCCCTTCCCTTTCTTCATATGCCCTTCTCTTCCCTTCCAGTCATTTTCCTTACATTTCTGTCCCTTCCATTCTTATATTTTGCTGATTCTAAGGCGGCAGGTTTCCTGGACATCAGCAGCTGTTTTTTAGAAATTTTATGCCAACGTAGCTGAAGCCAGCTGTCACGTTACCAGCTGTCACGTCACCAGCTGTCACGTTACCAGCTGTCACGTCACCATCTGTCACGTTACCAGACGAACACGGTATCAGACGAACACAGTAGGGACGACAGACGACAGTACTGTGACAACCATGACCAGCGCCAGTACTGTGTGGTGACGCAGAACACTGTACCGAAGACCAATCAGCGCAGACGATCACATTGGTACCATCATCACGGGCAGGAGGGAGGGAATTAGCGTGGGAAAGACAGGAAAGGAGCAATGTAGACGTAGTTAACGGTAGATGAGAACAGTCGAGACATTATGAGCGTCGTTACACACAGACAGACGAGGACAGTTTGACGGGCATGTTACAGTCCCGAGTGACAGATCATACCATTAGTCACAGACGGCTCACAGACAGCCGTGTTCAGTCTTTTTATTCGCTCCCGTCTGTAAATGCTGTTGACTGGACGTTGGCATCTTGTCTGTTGCGTAATGGGAATAATGTGTTTATTTTGACTGGAAATTATATATATATATATATATATATATATATATATATATATATATATATATATATATATATATATATATATATATATATATATATATATATATATATATATATATATATATATATATATATATATATATGTCGTACCTAGTAGCCAGAACTCACTTCTCAGCCTACTATGCAAGGCCCGATTTGCCTAATACGCCAAGTTTTCATGAATTAAGGCTTTTTCGTCTGCCTAACCTACCTAACCTAACCTAACCTAGCTTTTTTTGGCTACCTAACCTAACCTAACCTATAAAGATAGGTTAGGTTAGGTTAGGTAGGGTTGGTTAGGTTCGGTCATATATCTACGTTAATTTTAACTCCAATAAAAAAAAATTGACCCCATACATAGTGAAAAGGGTAGCTTTATCATTTCAATTTCATAAGAAAAAAATTATAGTAAATATATTAATTCAGGAAAACTTGGCTTATTAGGCAAATCGGGCCTTGAATAGTAGGCTGAGAAGTGAGTTCTGGCTACTAGGTACGACATATATATATATATATATATATATATATATATATATATATATATATATATATATGTCGTACCTAGTAGCCAGAACGCACTTCTCAGCCTACTATGCAAGGCCACATTTGCCTAAAAAGTCAAGTTTTCATGAATTAATTGTTTTTCGACTACCTAACCTACCTAACCTAACCTAACCTAACTTTTTCGGCTACCTAACCAAACCTAACCTATAAAGATAGGTTAGGTTAGGTTAGGTAGGGTTGGTTAGGTTCGGTCATATATCTACGTTAATTTTAATTCCAATAAAAAAAAATTGACCTCATACATAATGAAATGGGTAGTTTTATCATTTCATAAGAAAAAAATTAGAAAAAATAGATTAATTCAGGAAAACTTGGCCTATTAGGCAAATCGGGCCTTGAATAGTAGGCCAAAAAGTGAGTTCTGGCTACTAGGTACGACATATATATATATATACTTTAGGATTGCATCAAGGTTGATCTTCAAGGTCAAATTGCTGACCTTTTCCAGAATACAACCCCCATAACAGCTACCTTCCTCTCGGGGGTATACCTATTTACTGCTAGCTAAACGGCCAAAGGAAACGTGCCCATCCGTTTCTATTTCGCTGGGAATCGATCCCGGAAATACCATGGTGAGTCGAGAATGAATTCTTACCAGTCCTTCCTGCTTCCGTCTAGTTACCTGACGCTCTGTCTCGTTCTCCCTGTCTAGATCTAGATGCCACCAATCAGCCTGCCTCTCTTAACTCCTCTATAGTCAATTTCTATAGCATATTATGCTCTTTTGGTCAGTTACAGATCATAGGTATCTATACCTACCTAGTAAGTCTAGCATATAAATAGCTCTATTCCACACACCATGTATGTCTCTTTCCCGTCTATCATTAATTTGTTCGCATTGATGTCTAGCCGTTTGTCGGTACAAACATCAACACAATTTTCCACTAATCAACATCTATATCATTGTATGTCAAAACGTTCTTCATCAATTGCATGCATTTGTAGAGCGTTCACATGCATTGCACGACTACAGGGACATCACAGAGTGCTGGTGAGCTCAGACAATGAAGTCACCAACCACAGGGACACCACAGAGTGCTGGTGAACTCAGACATTGATGTCACCAACCTGGGGGACATCACATCATCCTGGTACACTCCTCCGTGGATATACTCAAGCCTACTAACATGGAACGGAGGCTTTCACTTCATTATCAAACAAATTGGTGAAACGGAATAGTTTATGTTGATGCGGCTCGGAATCTTTTGTGATGAACTAAATACGTGCATTTGCAAATTTCCTTATAATATATTATTTATGTGTTCGTTCATTATGTCGGTGCGTTCATGATGACCAGACCACATATCATAAAATGATGGTGAAAGTGCTGGTGAACCAAATATCAGAAGATGATGTAACGACGACGTTTCGGTCCATCTTGGACCATTATTAAGTCGTGTGTGAGAAAGAGAGGTTGATTGACTGATGAAGATTCTGGCCCCCAAGAGGTGGCACGGGCATGAATAGCCCGTAAGAAAGAGAGAATTGGTGTTACTGTTTTAGATGCAGCTACTCGCAGGCGATGAGTCACAATAACGTGGCTAAAGTAAGTTGACCAGACCACACACTAGAAGGTGAAGGGACGACGACGTTTCGGTCCGTCCTGGACCATTCTCAAGTCGATTGTGTCATTCTCACAATCGACATGAGAATGGTCCAGGACGGACCGAAACGTCGTCGTCCCTTCACCTTCTAGTGTGTGGTTTGGTCAACATGCAGCTACTCTGAACAAAAGTTCCAAGTAGCACGGGCTATAGTGAGCCCGTAGTGAACTTACCTCTCACAGGAGCGGGGCAAGTAGCACGGGCTATGGTGAGCCCGTAATGGACTTACCTGGCACAGGAGGGGGGCTGAAGAGAGAAAGTAACAGGACAATAAATAACGAAAGCAAGTGAAGTGAGGAGCAGGTATGAGAAAAAGATAAGTTCTAGAGGAAGGTAAAAGTAAGGTGAAAGATAACAATAAAATGAAAGGTACGAATGAAGGAAGAATGAGAAAAGATAAGAATAAGAGATAAGAAAAAGAAAAAGGCTTAAATCAGGTAACATTTGTTAAGAAGGTTGGAACATTTAAGTATGTGAAAGGGAAAATCGAGTCAGCATCAACAAAGCCAGGACTCAGGGACATGTTGGGCATGTTGTATATCAGAGCAGATTCGACAAGATGGCGTCTGTGAAGAGCAAAGACAAGAAAGATTATTTTAGAAGACCAATCTATATACGAAGATTATAAGAGTCCCTAACCTAACCTAACCTAACCTAACCTAACCTAACCTAACCTAACCTAACCTAACCTAACCTAACCTAACCTAACCTAACAGAAGAGAGCAACATTCTCTTCTCACTCATGGTCCAAAAACGGACCGAAACGCCGTCCGTTTCTGCAACTTCTGATGTGTGGTTTGCTCATTATCAACCACGTAATTGTCACTCATCGTTTGCTTGTCCTTTCATTATATCTGTGTGTTCATTATATGTGGGGTTTCATTATATTTGCGCGTTCGTAATATCCGTGCGTTCATTGTATATGTGCGCTCCTTATAATACATTTCTTTATTGTATTTTTGCCTTCTTTATATGTGAGTTAATATTATATCTGCGTTGATTGTAGTTGTGCATTTATTGTATTTGTGCGTTGAGTATATATTCGTTAATCATATTTGTGCGTTTAATGTTTCTGTGCGTTGATTATAAATGTGTGTTCAATAATTTTGTGCGTGCATTATATTTGTTCATTAGTTCTCTGCGTTCAATGTATTTGCGAATATTATGTACGTGGGCTCATTGTAAATGTGCGTGCATTGTATTTATGTGTTCATTATATTTGCTCGTTCATTATATATATATATATATATATATATATATATATATATATATATATATATATATATATATATATATATACTATGAATACTTATTCAAGTATGAATAAATGCATACCAACATGAATATCAGTATGAATAACGTATGAAGCCCTTGATCGAAGACCATTTGAAATTTGGGCTGGCTGAAACCAATTTATCTCGCGTCACAATATATTATGTTAAAAAGTGGCTTTGTCAAGTGGGATATGATCAAATGATATCCATGGAGAGGATAACATCAATACACATCGTCAGCGGCAGGCGAGGATTACAGCACGAACGTCATCGTCAACAGGCAGGGACATAGCAGCTTTGGCAGTGTTTCAAAACGAGTTTGTAACACCCTGTTGAGTCTCCAGATGAATCGAATACAAAGCAAACTCATTTCCTGGACGGTCTGGATTCTCTAAGGATGTGTTGAAACACACTCCTCGTCTCTCTCTTTATCTCTCTCTATTTCTTATCACATTTATCTCTCCTTCCCCCTCTCTCTTTTCTTCCTTCTTATTTGTGTCTTTTGATACCCATATTTCTCCATCTGTGATTCTAGCACAGCCTTCTCTCCCTCTCCTCTCTCTCTGCTTTACTTCCTTCTCTTTGTCCTTCATTCTCTCTTTCCTTTCTTCTTTTCTTATTTCTCTTTAAAATAACAGTTCTCCTCCTCTCTCGTTTTCTTACTCTTTCTCTTTCGAACTCCCTTCACTCTTGTTGTCTCTGCCTTTCATCCCTTCCCACTTTAAAACAACACTCTATACTACTTTCTCTTCCTGTTACCTATCATCTTCCGTCCATTCTATCTCCTTTTCCACTCAACTGTCAGTGTTACTATCTTCCTCTTTTTAATTCAATTCATCATTCACTTTTTGCAGGTGGGAACAAGAACAGATGATTTGAGGCTCATGTTATCAGGCTGAGAACTTTCCCACAGTTCATGGTGAGCCTTATCCACCTGTTTATAATGGAACAGGGGCCCGCTAATCAGTTTTAACAAGCAGGTGCACAATTACCTCCGGATGAACTGAAGGGGAACAGTTAAGGAGTACCTCGTAGGTAATCCTACCAGGCCAGGACTCGAACCAAGACCAGATAGCTGGTGAGGCTAGTGTGTCTGGGCAAGTGTGTTAACACTACGCCACCAGGGACTCTTCAGCGCCTCTAGGTCAATAGTACACAGAGGTCAATCCTGCTGCGGGACACCAATGCCAGCAAAATGGCGTTTTTATGTTTTGATAATTTGATTAAAAATGTCCAGACGTTATGTTTTTTCTATATTTATAGATTTCAAGGGTACATAAAAGACGTCTAAACCCATAGTAATGCTAAAAGTCATCAATACGTATTATGAAGAGAGACATAGAATCCGTCTCAGTTTCCCTTATGAAGCATCGATTACGAAGTGACTTTATCCGAACTTTGAAGATCGTGAAGAAATTCAGTGCAATCGAAGAAGAGGAAGTATTTGGGCTACTAGGAAATTGAACATCCAGAAATGTTGACCAGACACTTAAGGAGTAGTAGATTGCTGACCTGCAAGATTTAAGTAAATTGTCGAAGACGTTTATTCATGAAATAACTTTACGAAACAAGTGCGTGGGAATTTTTAGACTAAATATAAGTTGAAAATAATATATTATTTTTGCACATATTCTACTACAGACTGTAGCAGAATGTAGACATAGGTAAAGGTAGATATAGGAGTAGTTTCCCTAGTAGGAGTAGATGGTGAATCAGGTGCAGAAGTAGGAAGATTTGTCTCTTCTGATTCTGAATTATTTCAGTACTCTATTATGCTACATCAAGGGGGCTATTACTGTAGACTGGAGAGTGGGGAGTGAGCCTTCTGTTGTTCCGTCTTGATAAATGTGTAGAGACAAGTTTTTATCATAAAATTAAATAACATGGACCAAGGGTAGAAGCTTATTTAATTGAATGAATAAGTAAACAGAGAAGCGATTTGGAAAACAAATGAGAAATTTAACGGAAAGTGAATGGATTCGTAAATGGAAAGTGAAGGGATTCGTAAATTAACTAGCGAACACCATATAATACAGATCTTGATGGAGACAGTTCATAATAATGTTTATTCAATGCAAGAGCGAACGACAGGGGTATACAGGACCCTGAACATGGGAGTAACTGTTTCTTTGTGACTGATACATTCTGACTGTCGTCCAACACTCCATTACTAGTCATTCACTTCATAACACACCTCTCAACACCCAACTTGATCACACAATAAAATTGTAATGAAAATATATATATATATGAGCATTAATCTGTGATGCAAAATAACATTCTTTATACTATCTGTAAATTCCATCGATAATTCGTATTAATGCGGATTAAGGAAAGAGCGGAAACTGTAAATGCATTTCCTCTCAATTATCATCAATGTTAACTCACATTCCCTGTGAGTACCGAGTCTATTTATATACGTCCTTCCCTGTGAGCTAATTCGTTATCCTTCGCTGTGAGCTAATTCGTTATCCTTTGCTGTGAGCAAATTAGTTATCCTTCGCTGCGAGCTAATTCGCTTTCCTTCACTCTGAGCACATTATATTCTTTGCTCACTTCCTCAAAAATAAAATAATGAAGCATTTGACTACCGTGGGAGAGATGCAAGGAACTTACTTGCAGTCTGTGTGACCGTGGGAGTTGAGGATAGCCTGGGCCAGTGGATGTAAGGTGTCATGTCCCACCACGTCACGGGAACCAGGTGGCCCCGTTCGACACCCAGCGTCGCTGTACGTCCTCCTGCAGGGGTGAACACTGGGTTGTCTGTGATAATATATCTTTTCTCTGTACAAGTAAATTAAATGACAACATTCACTCTAAATTTATGTACGTTACATGATGATAGAGAGGGGTAATATATATATATATATATATATATATATATATATATATATATATATATATATATATATATATATATATATATATATATATATATATATATATATATATATATATTACGGAGAGAGAAAGAGAGAGAGAAAAAAGAGGTGGAACCAAGGTAGTGGGACACAGACTGAATAATCCAGACAGATCCGGCGAAACAGACAGAATAGCATCACCGAGCAGTGACGGGAGACAGGTAACTGACAGAACAACATCACCGAGCTATGACGGGAGACAGGAAGCGGACAGAACAGCAGTACCCTGCTTGCTATTAAAGTAAATACGAATCCCACGAGACTAAAACATCATCCCCTCACTCGGAATGTAACATACATTTGCCAATAGGAAAGATCACAGCCTGGCTGGTGAAATATATATTGACCCTCTACTCTTCAGTGCCCTGAGCCCCGATGCATCCCTTTCACACGAGTAATGCACCACTTATACATCCCCCTCGGACACAATACAGTACAATACAGCTGTGGGTTTCATTTATTCACAGAATAAAGGCTATCCAGGCGGAACTGAATTCTCCACTGATCTAAGGATTTACATTTTGGGACAGAGTATAAGAAGTTAATTGATTTAGGCTCTTAGATATAGCTCTATAATCGGGTTTTCTCCGGGTGTAATCTGCAGCATCCAGCGGTTGAGACTCGGGATGGAGAGAAGACTGAGAGGACAAAGGGAAGGGATATAAGATTGTGTGGAGAGAGGAAAGTTGAAGTGGGGTGTATAAGCTGGTAATCTTAGATCGAGGAGCAGTATACACTATGTAGGAAGCAGTATACACTGTGTAGGAAGCAGTATACACTGTGTAGGAAGCAGTATACACTGTGTAGGAAGCAGTATACACTATGTAGGAAGCAGTATACACTATGTAGGAAGCAGTATACACTATGTAGGAAGCAGTATACACTGTGTAGGCAGCAGCATACCCTGTGTAGGCAGCAGCATACACTGTGTAGGCAGCAGCATACCCTGTGTAGGCAGCAGCATACACTGTGTAGGCAGCAGCATACCCTGTGTAGGCAGCAGTATACACTGTGCAGGCAGCAGCATACACTGTGTAGGCAGCAGCATACACTGTGTAGGCAGCAGCATACACTGTGCAGGCAGCAGCATACACTGTGTAGGCAGCAGTATACCCTGTGTAGGCAGCAGCATACCCTGTGTAGGCAGCAGCATACCCTGTGTAGGCAGCAGCATACACTGTGTAGGCAGCAGTATACCCTGTGTAGGCAGCAGCATACACTGTGTAGGCAGCAGTATACCCTGTGTAGGCAGCAGCATACCCTGTGTAGACAGCAGCATACCCTGTGTAGGCAGCAGCATACCCTGTGTAGGCAGCAGTATACACTGTGCAGGCAGCAGTATACCCTGTGTAGGCAGCAGCATACCCTGTGTAGGCAGCAGTATACCCTGTGTAGGCAGCAGCATACCCTGTGTAGGCAGCAGCATACCCTGTGTAGGCAGCAGCATACCCTGTGTAGGCGGCAGCATACAGTAATGTTTGCAGAAAAAAATTACTTTCAGAAAGAGGCGCGCATATTACATTCTCCGAAGTACACACTTTACTTTCCCCACAAACGCAAATATAACACACACGACGAGAGAGATGGAGAGAGAGAAAGAGAAGAGAATGAGTCCAAGATCCGCTGCGTTCTTTCATTTTACATTACCGGTAGCTTTGATCGAGTTTGGCACTCGGAATTACTAGCAAACCTTCAAGCAATACTTATCTCAGCCCACACTTTATATCTAGTAAGGGACTACCTTCAAGAACGGGCTCAAAGAGTAGTCCTCAATAACCCAGAATCCGAAATTCAGTCAACAGGTACCAGGTACCAGGATGCATACCTCAGCGAACTACTACACCTCATTTCTTAAGCTCAAAACTCTACTGAGGAAATTACTTTAAATTTTATATATGTAAAAATAAAATACCGAATGCTACAATGGTGATTAATCACCATATTCATAAATATGTACCTGAGGAAGGACATAGGAAGTCACATATGCGGCTGATAAAACACAGGTGATAATGTTAACAATAGCGTCTATTTAAAACCGGACAGCATACAAATGAATCGCTAAAATCAAGTATTCAGAGATAAAGTTGACATATTAGGAATAGAGTTTGACTCCTCATTGACTATAGAAATTCCTGTACTTAACCTAGCAAGCAACACAACCAGGAAACTCAGAGCCCCAAGAGCCCCAAGAGCCCCAGAGCCCCAGAGCCCGTGTCATCTCATAGCTTCTTGTCAACAAGGGATGCGAAATCTTATTTAAGGCTCAAATTAGCTTCCATTATCAGCATGGGAACAAGGACTCTCTCCTGAACTACCTCTCCCCATTCATTCACTAGAATTTTACGACAAGATGGAGAACTGAGTGAAAAATGCATCTCTACTCTAGAACCGTTCTAGTTGGACTGGTCAGAACATCAGAGCCTTGAACACTAGCTAGGTGTAGGGGAGCCTATTTATATGTAAAAAAGGCAAATCAAGGTGCCTCGCCTGGCCCAACTTCGTGGACAACCAGAAGTCGGCAACGCTAACATAAGGCGCTCAGTCATCAGCCATTATATGCTAGCAATGCCTTAAGAACATCACTCCATCACCGATCATTCATTCCTAAGTTGACTCGCGTCTGGAACTTGTTCGCTCAAGATGTACATACGAGTGAAAGGAAGTTCACCGACCACATACTCTCACGATATAGCGAGAGTATGCATACAGTATACATCTGTGTATGGCAACTATGCATATAGTTGCCATACACAGATGGCTCTTGACTCATTCTCTTACCAACGTGAGACTTATCTTTAAATTTAATCTACTCCTTATGACTATAAACAATTAGCTCTTAAAACTAATGAGTTCCTAATGCCAAACTTCAGAGAAGCTTATGGAAGACATAAGCTTTTAACTTGAAGTTTCATTCGAACATCAAAGCCATTCCTAATGATCCTTAGCCAGAGATAAAAAAAAAAGAGAGAAAAGAGTAAAAGAGCGAGAGAGAAAAAGCGAAAGATTGAGAGAGAGAGAGACAGACAGACAGACAGAAACAGACTAGAGGACAACTGCTCAGAAACTGAAAATCTCAACAAAACGTCCTGAGAGCCGGAAATGATTAAGAAACTGCCGAAGGTGTCTGCCGCAACACATCTTCACCATAGTACAAATAGTGCAGAAGAGTGCAGCAACCTGCAAGAGAAGTACATAATGATGCAAGAGAATACAGGATGGTGCAAGGTGGTACAGGATAATACATTATGATACAAGAGTGTAAAGGATGGTGCAAAGTGATATAACATGATACAGAATGTTGCAAAAGGTGATTAGAGAGTGCAGGATGGTGCAAAAGGTGATTAGAGAGTGCAGGATGGTGCAAAAGGTGATTAGAGAGTGCAGGATGGTGCAAAAGGTGATTAGAGAGTGCAGGATGGTGCAAAAGGTGATTAGAGAGTGCAGGATGGTGCAAAAGGTGATTAGAGAGTGCAGGATGGTGCAAAAGGTGATTAGAGAGTGCAGGATGGTGCAAAAGGTGATTAGAGAGTGCAGGATGGTGCAAAAGGTGATTAGAGAGTGCAGGATGGTGCAAAAGGTGATTAGAGAGTGCAGGATGGTGCAATAGGTGATTAGAGAGTGCAGGATGGTGCAAAAGGTGATTAGAGAGTGCAGGATGGTGCAAAAGGTGATTAGAGAGTGCAGGATGGTGCAAAAGGTGATTAGAGAGTGCAGGATGGTGCAAAAGGTGATTAGAGAGTGCAGGATGGTGCAAAAGGTGATTAGAGAGTGCAGGATGGTGCAAAAGATGATTAGAGAGTGCAGGATGGTGCAAAAGGTGATTAGAGAGTGCAGGATGGTGCAAAAGATAATTAGAGAGTGCAGGATGATGCAAAAGGTGATTAGAGAGTGCAGGATGGTGCAAAAGGTGATTAGAGAGTGCAGGATGGTGAAAAAGGTGATTAGAGAGTGCAGGATGGTGCAAAAGGGTAATAAAGAGGTACAGGATGGTGCAAAAGAATACTAGAGAGTACAGTAGGGTACTAAAGAGTTCAGGATGTTGCAAGAGAGTACCAAAGTGCACAGGATAGTGCAAGGGAGTGCAGGATAGTGCAAGAGGGTACAAGAGAGTGAATATCGCTGCAAGAAGGTACTAAAGGGTACAGGATGCAGAAAGACTGTACTAAAGAGTACAAGATGGTACAAAAGGAATGAATGATAAAAGAGGATACTAGAGAGTGCAGGATTATGCAAGAGGATGCAGGATGAAGCAAGAGGGCGCAGGAAGAGGCAGAGGAAGCCCAGGATGAGGCAAATGGATGCAGGATTGTGCGAGAAGGTGTAGGATGACGCAAGAGGGCGCAGGAAGACGCAAGGGAGCGCAGGCTGACGCAAGAAGGTGCAATAAAAGAGTGCAAGAATATTCAGGAGGGTGCAGGAGACAGGGGGACCTTATCGAGATCTATCTGTTGAGTGTGGCAGGAGGGAAGGCGCGATAAGAGGGCTGGCTGACAGGATGGGCTGGAACACACAGCCACAGGGGAGATGTGAGACTACAAATGGAGTGTTAGATAGTGTGAGGGAGAGTCGAGGTGCTGGTGAGGTGGGTGAGAAGGAAGAGCTTGAGGAAGAGAAGTTGGAAGAGGAGGAGGAAGAGACGAAGACGAGATTGGCCAGGGGAAAGATTGACTGGTGAAGTAGGATTAAATATAGCGGATTATGGTGGAATTAGTTGGAATATTCTGAAGGAGAGGAGAATTAGTTGCAATAGAGCGGAATATACTGAAATGATTTGGAGCAGAGAAGTGGAATTCTGGGCAGAGAAACACCTGGCAAGATAAATAGCAAAGATCCCGGGTATTGTTGAAATAATAGCGGGAAGGAGACTGCTCAGGCAGTGGGGTGGAATCGAGGCAGTATTTCCCTGATGAAGAAAGGTTTATGGGCCATAGGGAGTGAGGGGAAACAGGTGTCGTAGACAGGAGGAGGCAGCGCCTTCATTAAGGAAAAGAGTCCTGACTTGACACTTGCCCAAATTATGCACATGAGTCAGTCTTAAGGCGCTGCCGCTTTACATTGCATTGCAAAGTGTTTGTAGTGGATAATTAATCAGGACAAATGCAGTTCTAATAAATTATCAACATAGATAAGTAAAGTAGAATGAAGATCATTCTATCTTCATCCTCATTCTACTGTGCTCTGATGAAAGCGATTTAGCTGAAAACGCGTTAAGCATTCTCTATTTTTCACATATGGTTATTCTGCATACTTTCATCAGTGTTTTTGTGATCATTGTTGCACATATATATATATATATATATATATATATATATATATATATATATATATATATATATATATATATATATATATATATATATATATATATATATATATGTCGTACCTAGTAGCCAGAACGCACTTCTCGGCCTACTATGCAAGGCCCCATTTGCCTAATAAACCAAGTTTTCATGAATTATTATATTGTCTCTATTTTTGTTCTGATGAAATGATAAAGCTACTCATTTCATTATGTATGAGGTCAATTTTTTTTTATTAAAGTTAAAATTAACGTAGATATATGACCGAACCTAACCAACCCTACCTAACCTAACCTAACCTATCTTTATAGGTTAGGTTAGGTTAGGTAGCCGAAAAAGTTAGGTTAGGTTAGGTTAGGTAGGTTAGGTAATCGAAAAACAATTAATTCATGAAAACTTGGCTTATTAGGCAAATTGGGCCTTGCATAGTAGGCTGAGAAGTGCATTCTGGCTACTAGGTACGACATATATATATATATATATATATATATATATATATATATATATATATATATATATATATATATATATATATATATATATATTGAGTATATATATATATATATATATATATATGTATTCGTTTGCCTTGTTCGGGTTGAATGTAGACACAGTAGTCGCTTCTGTATATATTTACTGAGTGAGGCAAACAGGTGTATAACTGGCCAGCCGAGGTCCACCTACTCTGAGTCTGTGAGGAGTACTGAGGCTGCTGGGAGCATGGCTGATGCTCCTCTGTCTGGCATGACGTCAGAGGCCTACTTGCCTGTGATTGGTTATATTCCCACTGACATAGAATTTGAGTATAACATATATATATATATATATATATATATATATATATATATATATATATATATATATATATATATATATATATATATATATATATATATATGCTGAGAACAAAGCCCGCCTTTTAGCGGTAGCAGCACCCCATGCTAGGGATATTTTATTTGCTGTGCCCAGTAGAGCCCTGGGAACTCGTCTCAGTCATGACGCCCTTTTTGCATTGGAGCTCCACTTTGCCTTGTCGCCCCCGTCCTCACCGAACATAAGTGCATCTACAGACGCACGATGGCAGACCAATACGGTCATCATGGTTTGGTATGTCGTACGTTGAAGTCAACGACATCATCAAGAGGAACCTCGCCACAGCCCGCTACCCAGCACAAAGAGAACAACACACCTGTTCAGAACCAACGGACCTCTCAAGTGATCAGACAGGGTCACCTTGCTTTCTTGGAAGGATGGTAAGCAGGTGGTGTGGGACTACAAATGCGCTGCCACACTGGCCTGTGCCTACCACCAACACGGCACAAGCAAAGGGGGCGGCGCTGCTTCTTTCAGAAAAACGCAGAAAACCATCAAATAGAGAGGTCTGGCACACTGCGACAGCTTTGTTCCAATCGGTTCGGAGACTCTCGGTTCGTGAGGGTATATGTGCATTGAAGTTCCTGAAGGAATTGGGCGACAAATTGATTAGTGTTACAAAAGACCAAAGAGCGAACATCTTCTTGCTTCAGCGCCCCAGTGTCGCAATTCAGAGGGAAAATGCCTGCTGCACCATGGGCCCGAGTCCAACCTCGGAGGAATTCGAAGAGATGTTTGACTTACAACAATGATCGAATCTGTCTGTGCCATTCATTAATGTATCCCGTTGATGTGTTTTTCACATGTATTGGTCGGAAGGTCAGATCGGAAGATGGTAAGGAAAGGGAGTGAGAGGGAAGGCGTGACAGAGAAGGGAAGAAGCAAGAGATGGAAGGAAAAGTCGAGGTGTGGAAGGATGTAAAAGCACCGAGATGCATTAGGAGGAGCAGGAGATGCATGCAACAGCTCAAGAACACGTGAAAGAAGACTATAAAGTCGACCCTAAGCCCTGACCAGAACCTCTGCTCTTCCTCACTGAGAATTTAATATAATTTCCCGTGTTTTGAGACCGCCTTAGGCAGCCTTGGGGGGGCCTCGTGGCGACCGGTCTTTCTTCCACGGCCATTTTTAATGAAAACATCTCCCAAAAGATGCGTTGAGTTTGATACCAGAAGATTTTCCTCAAGTTTGTTCACCCAAAAAAATAATGTTTTCTTCGCCGCATGATAAATTGTGTTCAAGGCTTAAAATGAGTTTTGTTTAGTTATCTTGAGGTTAATGGGTATTTTTTTTATTTTTTTTCAATTAGACAATTTAAGCTGTTTAAGATATATGTTCTGATGAACATTTGTAGTTCCCCTTGGCTTCTGTACCCCAATCCTACACAAATACAACACACACACACACACACACACACACACACACACACACACACACACACACACACACACACACACACACACACACACACACACACACACACACACACACACACACACACACACACACACACACACACACACACACACACACACACACACACACACACAGTCTCTGTGGGAAAGAGCTATAAACAACACAGCCTGAAAGATAAACACACACGACAGACATATTAAGAATATTTCGACAATTTCGGAAATAATTCCCGCAGGAGGAGGAAGATGGGGTGGTGGGCGGCGGGGCCTGGTCTGAGGAAAGGAGAAACGACTTTGAAGATGTGTTGACGAGTTGAGAACAGGGTAGGAGGGGGGAGGGGGAAGGGCGTGGTCCAAGAGGAGTAGGACCAAGAGGAGGAGGACCAAGAGGACGAGTTTAGGACTCTCGATGAGGGACAGTGTTGGATGCCATGGCTTGTGCTCCGGGCATTCTGGCATCTCCTGCCTCTGATTAGCAGCGTTCGTATCAACACCACTAGCAGGAAGGAAGTACAGCCCAGGCGAGGTTGTTTTGAAGTGTTGAGGACCGCCAAGGCGAAAAAAAAGACTTGAGAAGAGGCTGTTGCTAAGCGAAAGGAAGAAAGGACACGAGGGCGTCACTAGGCTGAAGAATGTGTTAAGGGGAAGGAGTAAGCTAAGGAGAAAAAGATTCGTAAGAGATACATTTTTCAAGGAAGAGATATGTTGAGGAAAAATAGATGCAGATTGTTGGGGTATGCTCGCTGAGACATGGATGTAAAGATTAGTATATAGCAGAAGTAAAGGGAATGTCAAGGAAAGAGGGAACTATGATGGGAAGGGGGAGAAGCAAAGCAAGAAAAAAGTAATCATAATGAAAGTTATTTGTCTACATCACTTGCGGTTGATGGGCGTTAATAACAATTGGCAACGTTCAGAGACATTGTTATATAACTCCTCAAAAAATATAGGAACTATATGATAAGACGCTTATTTTTTTTGGTAAGATGAGGAAAGAAATGGAATAGTGACGTAATAGCCTTAAAAAATGGAACATCATAGAAAGATGTAATTTTTGGAGAATGTCGGTAGGAAAGTGGGTTGTCAGGGAGAGAGGAAAATGGTGGAGGAATTTCTTGGGCAAGAAATATCAGGATAAACCTTTTATGCAAAGTTTAGAATACAACCAGACTCTTAATATAAGCAACAGGTTGGGGTTGCTCAGATGAGAGAGATGAAGTAGAGATGTGTCAAGTATTGTCCAAGGGGAGAGTTATGGACAGCGGATAACAGGGGAAGAGAGAGAAGTGGACACAACACATGGAAGAGGTTATGTAAAGTGGAAGAGGATTTATGTACGATAATGGAGCAGTGGAAGACTCTTTTCTTCTGCTTGATAATGGTGACTGAGAAGGGAATGGGACGGAGGACAGTTTATGGAGCAGTAAAAGTCAGATGAGGGAGTGTATGGAGCGAGGTATTGACTGTAAGGAGAGCGTACAGCCGCGCCAGGGACGAGCTGTAATAGTCAAAGAGGAAGGGAGAGGAAGAAGTGAGTACAGATTAAGCTGCGATTCTCAACAAAGAGAGACGGAGACTCTGGGATCAAGCCAAGAGGTAGACAGCTCTCTCACCTCCCCGTCCGGTACTTCCATACTTAATGAATCTACGTGTTACGTACGCTCAGGAGCCGAGCGCGTCGGTAATTGAGTCGTAAGATATTAAATGGCATCGGATGGAATTCGGTACGTACTTTACATGCAAATAAGACAGCGATGCTGAAATAACTGTTCAGGAATTAACTTGAGAATTCCGGTCGTATAATGCTGACTACTGTTTACAACCTGGAGATCCATAGCATTTCCCAATTAACTTTGTCATCAAATTTATTAGCTTATCTAGAGGAATTACTTGATGTTGAATTCACATCTCTTTCAAAGGTGAAGTAGATAATTTTGTAGTTATATGAACTCTACCCAGAGTGAAAAATACTTCCAATAAATATCTCTAGACTAAATTTTTTTTTAAATATTATTAATTTTGTCTATAAAGGAAGAAACTTTGATAACTTACGGTCTACTGCAGGAGGCTGCGCTGAGTTGCTGCATTTCCTGTCCACCGTCTTGCAGCTGCATCTGCTGTTGTAGTTGCACTCCGAACTGTGGGTGTGGCAGATCCAACAGATCTGGGTACTGTTTTCCACTCCCTAAGGAAACCTGAGACACCGAGCGACTACACACTCTATGCAGAAAAATATCCTTATTGCAGACCATGTCTTTCCACTGGGCTCTGTCTAGTGTGGCGTGGTGCATACCACAAACATCGAGTTTAGGGCTCTCGACGAAGGACACGGCATTGGATGCCATGGCCTGTGCCCCTGGGCATTCTGGCATTTCCTGTCTCTGATCAGCAGCGTTCGTATCAAGAACACTGGCAGGGGCGAAGTCCCCTGAAGCACGTCTATGTCTCACGTTCCAGGAGGGTTCTGGAGGCTGTCTGCAAGGCGAAGAGTCCAGTTCGCTGGTCGGTACCATGTGGTATCCAGCCAGCTTGTGGGGGGTTTCGCAGTCAGAGCCTCTCGATGATTGGGCCGTTTCCACACTGTCTTCGTCCTGTCGTTGGCCACGACTCACTCGGACTTTGCAATACACTATACTACACACGAGAAGTAACACAAAAATCAGAATGGAGAATCCGCCCAAGAGACCCTCCTTTATGTAACTAACATCGATGTTGGCAATTCTTACTTCCGCCGCTTTGTGCGACACCTGGAGCGTGAAATTGGTCTCCCTGAGCCCCGCTCTGTTCTCCGCCACGCACCGGTACGTACCCTGATCTTCGGACACCACATCGGTAATAGTCAAGTTTGACACATAGGACATGTTCCTCGAGGTCATCAGTTCCACTACGTAGTATCGCTGTAGCTCGCTATCGTTGTACAAAGGAACGTCGCCCATGAACCACGTAACAGTAGCCTCCACCTCTGTTTCAACGCGACACAGCAACGACACATTCTCACCGTGCGCCGCCAGCAACCTTGGGGCTTCGGCTGAGACCTTAGGTGCACAGAGGAACTCTTCCTCAGCCAGCAGCGGCCAGTCTTGCCCCATCAACCACTTGGGATGCGAGCAGGAGGGCGGCACAGACGCCTCCATATTCCGGAAATGAAACCAATAACGAAGCGACCGTAAATGGCAGTCACAGTGCCAGGGATTTCCGTCTATTCGAATTACTCTCAAGAGAACCAGAGGCTCGAGTTCACTCGCATTCAGGGAAATAAGTTTATTATAAGATAAATTCAAAACTTCTAATTCCGTCAGGTTTCTGATGGCTCCAGGCTCGATGGTGTTAATTTGGTTGTGGCTCAGGTCGAGCTGGACGATGTGTGGGGTGCGTGTGAAGGCTGAAGCCGACACGGAGGTGAGTGCGTTGTGAGCAATACGCAATTCACGCAAGCCCAACATGTCCATTAGCGCCGCCGACGGCACGGAGCGTAGATGGTTGTTACTCAAGTCAAGCTGCATTATGTTCTCTACGCCGTTGAACGCGCCGTGCTCCAGAAGAATCAGGTTGCAATGGTTGAGCATGACCTTCTGCAGGCTGCGGAGGCCCGTGTAAACAAAAGAGTCGCGCGGAAGTATCCTCAGGTTGTTGTGACTGAGATCCAGCACTTGCGTCGTGGATTCGATCCCTCGAGGAATATCGATGAATTGTGCGTCTCGACAAGCCACCATCTGCTTACCGTCGCGCCAAAAACACTCGCACACTTTGGGACACCCGCCCCACACACCCAGCCACGCCCACACCCACACACACGCCCACACTAAAGCTGTGCGCGTCCTGGGCTGACACAGAGTTGCGTGTTGAACTTGCGATGTGCACATGATCTGCAGGGTGCGGGGGCGTGAGTGGTGGCGTGGGCGTGGACAGCGTCATGCCGCCCGCATCGCTACTCACGTCACCACCATCACCGCCCATCCACAACACACAGCAGGACCCCGGGCGTGATGCAGGCGCCGAGGGGTGGCACAGTGCCTCACGCTAAGGCTCACTCACTCCTCATGAGCCTTCGGTGTATCGCTGTAACTTCCACTGTACCAACCACAGGACATCCCTTGGCCTCAATCTCACAGTGGTACTCGATGACGACCATCCTGGACGCCCGGGATAGTGTCACTAGACTATCATCATCTTGTGACAAGGTCGACGGTAATATTCGGACCTCACATCACCCTAAAAAAGAGAGATAGAAGCATTAATTGTATTATTTACGTCCAGGCAATGCCGACGCAAGGCATAGGAAGAGAAAACAATTGCATGTGGCCTTGAGGAGCTGGATGGATCTTTGAATATGTCAAGAGGGTGCCTACCATCTCTGGGGCTTCGAGCCTCATAAGTGGGTCCGAACGAGCAACTTAAGATGGTCCCCGAGCCCCCTAAAGTGTTCCGAGCAGCAGTAAAAAGACAGAATAATTTTAACTGTGGGATCACTAAGGAATGAAAATGTCTGGAAGATTCATAATATATATATATATATATATATATATATATATATATATATATATATATATATATATATATATATATATATATATATATATATATATATATATATATATATATATATATCCCACCTCCACTTTTCTCCTGTCAATTTATCTTTCTCGTTCTCTCGCTCTTCACTGTCATAGTTTGAGAGTAAACTGTGAGTGTGTGGGAATAGCTGCGAGCCAGTAAGCATAAACAACTCTACGGAAGACACACGCCAGATTTAATTTAAAACTAAATGAAACTATCAACTATGGATGTTGGTATTTTTCATAACATGGCACTTGGGCTGTCCCCGAATGACCTATTACACTCACATTCGCCTCATGTTTCATGAGTGGAAGGTCTGTGAGTCCATCCTGATGAGTCTGGTCTCACCCTTCGGCTTCTCACTTTCATGAGAGTTACATAGCATTTAATTGAATGGATACTAACAATGTCAACACAAATTAGATTTTTGGATCAGGCTTTAGATGAACTGTTACAGGACAACAGCTCTTAGGTTTTAGATTCTTTATAATATGACCATCATTCATAATGAACCCTTGTCTTAAGTCCAGTCTTAATTCCAAGATCTTCCATTTTCTAACTTTTCTATTAATCGGATTACCTCGCATTAATTTATATTTTTATGTGAATATTTGTGACGTGATAGTGTTGTTTATATTCCAAAGGCGCTCTAGCTGTGTTTTTTTTCGATACCATCGGCGATACAATTTCCGATACCTTATCCAATGTATTTTTCGATACCATTGCTGGTTTTGTGTGCATAATATCAGAGGCTGTAGATACTACCATAACACAATTTGAGTCTCATCCCCCCCCTCTCTCTCTCTCTCTCTCTCTCTCTCTCTCTCTCTCTCTCTCTCTCTCTCTCTCTCTCTCTCTCTCTCTCTCTCTCTCTCTCTCTCTCTCTCTCTCTCTCTCTCTCTCTCTCTCTCTCTCTCTCTCTCTCTCTCTCTCTCTCTCTCTCTCTCTTTCGCTCTCGCTCTCTCGTCCTTTAAAATCAATAACTTCAAAAGTTGGAAGCGAACAATGAATCTTCCTCACCAGAAGCACTACGTTCCTGGTCGGCCTGGTAAGATGTTATGGGAAAGTGATACAGGCGGTTTAGAAGGGGGCAGTTGAAGGGGGGATTGTGATACAGAGGAGGTGAGATGGTGATTGTGGAGAAGTGAAGGATAGGTGAATGAAAGCAGTGTCTGAGAAATGAGAGAGAGGTTTGGGTAATCGGCAGCGAGGGATGAATTAGTGATTGGAGGAAGCGATAGGACGTGAGATGAGGGAGAAAGGAGAAAGAAAGGGAGGTGTAGATGGAATTAAGGCAGAGCGATAGTAGGAAGGGACAGAGGGAAAGAAAATGTGAAAGAGGGAGGGAGGGAGGGAGATTCATCAGGTTCTCTGTACGTTAAATCATTTCAGATCCAAAAGGATTTGAGAATTCCGACTCACTGTAAAAAAAAAAAGGTTTACAGCCCCTCTATGCAAAATTGTCGTTCCTTATTACGTTTGGTTGTTGTTTCTGTTGTAAATTTATTCAAGTCCCTTATTTTACGTTCCCAAGCCCCTCTTCGTTCACGCAAGCCCCTCCTCACATACTCAATTTCCTCACGATTTCTCACAATTATCCTCACGGTTTTTTTTTCTGTATTCAGTAATTATTTAGAGAGTGATGCTTAAAAAAATTAATTTACTTAATAATATAGCAATATTATGCGGTATAATATATCATCAGGTGTTGGCATTATAGAATCTCTCTCAACTTTTAAACTTTTCGATATAAACTTCTTTCCAGCGGATAACAAGACGGAGGAAGGAGTCATGAAAGATTTAATTGACACAGACGCGTCGGCTGTCTCTACTAACCAGAAGATATTGCTAACCACACACTGCAAGATTTAGACTTGTGCCAGCCTCCTCGCGAAGATCTCTCCCGACATCAAACGGAACTCCCGGAACGACTTGAAAGAGATGAGTTCTCTATGACGGCACTTGTTCACTTGTGGCTGTCAGCCCCAATCATCTCAATATATAAGTAAAAAACATCTCCTGCTAAGGCGCTTGACAATACACAGATAAAAGGATCTATGAAGGTCACACACACACACACACACACACACACACACACACACACACACACACACACACACACACACACACACACACACACACATACACACACACACACACACACACACACACACACACACACACACACACACACACACACACACACTATATATATATATATATATATATATATATATATATATATATATATATATATATATATATATATATATATATATATATATATATATATACCCACATAGCAGTCCTCTTACAGCCTTCGTAACAAAAATCGTCAAAAAATATTCAGAAGGCTGAATGGTCCCCTTTAACTCCCTCAATTCATCGGGTAAGTGCATCCCATTTTTTGCACAGAGAATTGTAGAAATGTTGGCAAGGCAGTTTCTAACTTGCCAAACCTACTTTTTTATTTTTTTATTAATGTAATATGGTGTTGAGTTACCTATTCGTTGATAACATTTCATGGGGTTATGATGGGGGGGAGAGGCAAGGGGTAGGTTAATCATTTTGTTATATATATATATATATATATATATATATATATATATATATATATATATGTGTGTGTGTGTGTGTGTGTGTGTGTGTGTGTGTGTGTGTGTGTGTGTGTGTGTGTGTGTGTGTGTGTGTGTGTAAGTCACAAAGAATTTAACGTGATAAACAATTTGAAATATATAACCAAAAAAATTTCAAACTTAAAAACATAATAACTTAAGCGAACAGTTTAATATAATTATTGATAGTTAATTTCACATACTGACTTATTGCTCTACATTTTCGCGAATGTTTTATCACTTCATGGAATTGCGTTGTAACAAGATATTTCCGTTGTTATTGTTGCTAGTGTACATGTGTACCGATACAAGATGTGCAAGCATTAATATGTAAAACTCAGATATTCCAATATTTTACACATCTCATAATTTTACAAATACGTATTCAAATAACAAGGTTATTCCAAGCAAACACAATGGGAGGAAGGCAATTATCAAATGCCAGTTAAATACAGGTCAATACTCTTAGCTGCTTGAGTGATTCCTTTACGAGAAAAAGAGGTTTTTCAACTGTGTGCTTTTGCTTCTGCCTCTTACCACAATGACGTTGGTACTTTGTGGTAGCTGTTCCTAGTTAGAGGACCTGTGAGAGGTGAAGGATTACTTCCTGCTACACAAAAATGGCTAAGCAGGTTAGTTAAGGATGTTAGCATTAGTACAGGTGGAGGATGTGAGGCAGGAGGATGAGGAGGATGGAGGAAGAGTAGGCAGAGAGGGAGGACGTAAATGAAAGAGGGAAGAGTAAAATGAGGTAAAAATTCAGGTAAATGAATGAGAAAGATAATAGGAAGGAAGAAGAATAAGATGAAAAAAAAGAAGAATAGGTAGAAAAAGTCCTGCATTGGAAGGGTCAAGTTTTGGTTACTATATATATTAAATATCCTCGTATTCTTACCGTTCATAAGAAATTGAATATTGGAATAAGGATAAGGAATTGGGCCCCGTCCCATCCAATTCCTTATCCTAACCCCTTCCAAGTGCTGTATAGTAGTAATGGCTTGGCGCCTTCCCCTGATAACTACCTAACTATCCTTGTTGACAATTTGACCTTTGAAGGGTGGTGAGTTGTCCAGAATGATTTATGAAAACTATCACGACTCACGCGATGATAGAAATTTCGAAAAATAGTCTTATGAAACTATCAACAGGCACATAAAAAAACTTTCAATATGTTCCTTGATTCTTAATGCCATGAACCATGAATATAAAAATTCTTTGATATCGCTGCCTCGAATTGAAAGAGAACTGACAAACACTGAGGATCTGACTAATAGGGATTGGAACGACTTATAGATAGCAAAAACACCATCATTCATATCTAGTATATTCGATATGAATATTATCCTCCTGAAAACAAAACAAAACAAAAATATTGGATCCATGCCCATGCCCATGCCCATGCCCAATACAAAAATATTGGATCCATGCCCATACCCAATACAAAAATATTGGATCCATGCCCATGCCCAATACAAAAATATTGGATCCATGCCCTATCCATGCCCAAGCCCAATACAAAAATATTGGATCCATGCCCTATCCATGCCCATGCCCAATACAAAAATATTGGATCCATACCCATGCCCAATACAAAAATATTGGATCCATGCCCATGCCCAATACAAAAATATTGGATCCATGCCCTACCCTAAACATTGATGTTTATCTACCGGAGAGAGAACGACTGTTTTCTTGAAGACAATCAATACTACCACCGCTGATGTGATGGAGAGACAAGAGGAAGCAGACCTGAGAAAGTTGATGTGTTTGGCAGGAACTTGTGATTCTCAAGTTCTGGAGAAGACAACAACGACTTTGAGGGAAAAAAAATGAGATAAAACTCTGCTAAGCGCCGCAATTTCTGGATGATCCCAACAAGTTTTCTGAGCCAGATTTCACTGATTTTAAAAAAAAATCAGCGCTTTAAGAAAGCAAGAGAAAGAAGAGAAGGAAATTTGGCGTCATAAGGTTCTACACAGCAGAGAAAAGACGATTTATGGATGGACGACACAACGAGGTTCTGTACATGTGTAAGGAGAC